AGAACAGTGGGATACCTGCCAAGGAGAGATGCTAACCACATGTGGGAATAGCCTAAGGGAGGAAAAAGAGCTGAAAGGATTGGAGATCTGAAGAGCTTTTTGATATGAGGCATGAAGATGCAGAGCTTGGCGTTTGCCCAGCTGTTTTTCAGTCTTGCTTTGGTCCAATATTTCTTCACTATGCTCCCTTTCCTCCCCTTTGGAATGGTAATGTATATCCTGTGTCATTATATGTTTGAGGTATGTAATTTCAGGAGGGTCACAGCTAATAGATTGCCTTGAGTCTTAGAGGAGACTTTGAATTTTGGACTTTTAAACAGTCTTGACACTGTGATAGACTGTGGGGACTTTTGAAGTTGTACTAAATGCATTTTGCATTATGATATGGCTACAAGCCTATGGGGGACAGGGAGTGGAATGTGGTGGTTTATTTTCCTTTATAAGATTGCCATGGTCATGGGGTCCCTTTATAGCAATAGAACATGGACTAAGACAGTGAACACTCCAGCTATCACTCCTGCATTTATCAAGGTGGGACTCACATATTCCAAGATATTCTGCCTTCACATCCTTAAGGAATATTCAAAATGACCTCTTTTTTGTGTCCATTGTCATTTAGCATCTCTATGTAATATTTAAAAATGATTCTTACAGCATATAAAAGGAAAACATTTGAAATGAAGCCATTGTGTGCTATCTGGGTTTTGTTGTTGTTGGTGGTGGTGGTCAGTATGACAGAAGGCAGAGCCATTTGGGAATGGGAAACCTCAAGTGAGAAAATACCTCCACCAGATTGGCCATTGGGAAAAGCTCTGGCAATTTTCATGATTGGTGTGAAAGGGCCCCCAGCTCACTGTGGGCAGTGTAACTCTTGGGCTTGTGGTCCTGGGCGCTATAAGAAAGCACACTAGAGAAGCTATGAAGAGCAAGCCAGTAAACAGTGCTCCTCCACGACCTCTGCTTCTGTTCCTGCCTCTTAAGTTTCTGTCATAAATTCCTGCCCTGACTTTCCTTCAGTAGGATGGCAGCCCATATGTTTTCCTCTGAATGGACCTGGTGGGAAACATGTAGCCTTATGGGTTTGCCTTTATAAGCCTCTGCACAATATGACTGGTCACCATTTTCTGGAAGCCAGAGTCCATTACCCTGGCTAGTCTTTATTTAAAGCTTGCTTCAGATTTGGCTCAAATTATGGTAGTGGTTTTACACTTGCCTGGTGGAATTAACACATCTCTATATGACAGAGTGTCACTTACATCACCCATACTGGCTTTGATTACACAATATCCTGGCTCAGCACTCTCAAGTGCTGAGAGTCAAACTGTGTGCCATTCATTATTTGCTTTCAAAACAATCATCCGGCAACTTTTACTTATTCCACTGACTGGAATCAATATGTCTGGTGAACTTATGCTTGCTTGTTTCCACCCCCTGGGTTGCTGGTTCTTGCTTTCATTTTGATGGATGTGAGTTTTAATGAGTTCTTTATCAATATCAACATAATACTGTGTTCTGTGATTTCTGGGCCTTTTATTTTTTTCAGATTTGTTCCCTGGGTTTTATCTGAACTTTTTGCATAGCAGATTAGATAAAAGATTAATTCTTTAATCTAAAAATACAAGCCAAGCTATCAGGTCCTTGCTTTCACAGTCAGTCTCTGCATGAGGCATTTCCTGGAGGCCTCCCAAAAGGAAAGAAGTGATAGGAGTGTAGTCAAGCAGGTACAGGAAGCCATGCCAGTGTCACTCCACAGTGATCTAAGAGCTCTGCTGGGGGTGGGGGCGGGGCATCACTACACTAAGAGCAAAGTGAGAACCATTGTAGCAGGGCATGGAAAATCCAGTTAGTGGTAAGCTGCTGTCACTCCTTTTCTTCTCCTAAAAACCCGATCCTCCTTTTTTTGCACACCATGCTCCCAGTGGCAGATCAGAATTTAGGGGGAGATAAATAAAAATAAGTTCTACCTATCTTCCCTTCAGAACAACCCTGGCTCCTCTGGGACCACACTCAGGCTCACTGCAGGGATGCTCTTCGCTTCTTACTGGCTGTACCCACAGCACAGACTCCAGAACTCAATGGGAAGAGATGACGGGCTGAAAGCTTTAGGGTGGTCTCGTGACTGTAGAAATGTCGACTTCCACACAGGTGGGAAATATTCACTGATTCTAACTGCCATATTTCATTGAGTTTATGATGGTAGAGAACATTCCTAAGAGATCACTGTGAGTGCAGCTGTGCAACAGCATCATGGGAAATTCTCCCCTTTAATGATGTACTCTGCAAAAACCAGGGAAGTAGAAGGGGCCATTGTGAGGGTGGAGGTGTGAGGGGTGATGATGAGAAGAGCAGGGAACAAGTAATCTGAGGGGGGTAATGGAGACTACAGAAGGGACTCTAATTAGGGAGGAGAAAAGAGATGGACATAGAAGAAGGGAAGAAGGTAAATAAGGGTAAGGAAGCATGAAAAACTTACAAGGAACATAGAATTAATGATCTATCTAAAAATACAAATAGGCCAGTGTATATACATATAGTTTAAATTAAATTTTCACATCTACGCTGACAGTTCTCCCTCCAAAAGCCATAGACCATCTAACAAAAACTCCAACACCAGGAATAAGAAGCTCTCTTTTGAGTTGTTGGTTGCGGTTGTCCATGAGATTCCCAAACATTACAGGCTATTGCTATCGTTCTTACTTTTCTTCAGTGAAGTGAAAGGTAAGCCCCTACTGCTGAAAACACCATGCACTTCAGACACAGGACCCAGAGGACTGGACTGACCTGAAAGCCTCCTCCCTGAGGTCTAGTTCTCATGGTATCAAAGGTGCCATGCAAGCTTCCAAAGGAAGGAGGCAACAAATAGTCCTACCTAGGACTATGATGCATATTAACGACAACAATGACTGGAAGGAAAGGTAACCCTAAGGCTGCAATAGTGGCAACCACAACTTGATGGTCACCAAAAACTCTAATTGGACTCAAGATCCACCCAACTAGAGGGAATCATGCCCGGTACTAGAAAACTAACCAACTACCCATGGCTAGTGAAGTCATGTATCTAAGAAAAGAATCTACAACCACAACTTCACTAAATCAGCATAATCCCTAACTACATTCTAAATATTTGTCCTTATATTCACAAATAAGTACAGCCCTTACCCCAGGTCATGGAAACATCTCTTTGCACCGGACAGAAAATATTTTGAAAAACCACAACCACTCAAAATGTACAGTTGTAGAGTTCAGTCCCAACTGGCATCTACAACAACACAACTGTTGCACCTAAGTTCCAGAGGTCATTGTGAAAGAATGGGTGGAAAGATTGTAAGACACAAATATACAGAGAGTTGGCTGTGAGATTGTGCCTCCTAGAAATTTCAGAAGCTACACCCATTCAATCTCACCAACGTGATTACCTAAACATGAACTGAACAAGGACAACCATAAGACACGCTGAAGTGGATGGGGGAAAGGGCCTCAACCTAGACAAAGAACTGCAGGCAACTTAGTGATGCTGAGAGCAGGAGAAGAATTTCCCCGGGGAAGAGCACACTTATCCAACACCAAATGCTCAGCCCTGAAAACATATGTATGTATGTATGTATGTATGTATGTATGTATGTATGTATGTATATGTATAGATAGATAAATAGATAGATAGGTAGATAGATAGATAGATATCTCATTATACAGGCTGAGCAGGTTGTACTAATGGATTTAGGAAGATATATGTATTTAACAATTAGTGAATACACAGGCCATGTATTTGAAAGAGAGGACATAGGAGAGGGCTTGGAGGAAAGAAAGGGAAGTAGGAAATGAGGTGATTGTAACATAATCTCAAAAACATAAAAAAGATTTACAAGAGAGACAAAGTGGATAGAAAAGTAATCTGTAGAGACCAAAATTCCAAGAGAAATGAAAAATTTCGCTATTTATGCCATTGTTAGAAATTTAGCTTGCCACTTATATCCTGCTTACCTCTAGGAATACTGAAATAAGTATAATGTTATGTATAAAAAAACTAAAAAAAAAAAGAAACCAAACTAAAACACAGAAAAGAAGGCTGAGCAAGCATGAGAGCAAGCCAATACACAGTGTTCTCCCATGGCCTCTGCTTCAGTTCCTGCCTCCAGGCTCCTACCAGAGTTCCTGTCCTGATATCATTGGTTACAGACTGTAAGGTATAAAAGGGAATAAATACTTTCCTTCCCCCAGTTCATGTACACACACACACACACACACACACACACACACACACACACACACACACACAGAATACACAACAAAGCAACGGTTTGGGGACTGACCCAATATAAAGTGTTGAAGAGCATTGGCATGTGTCAATCATGATTATAAACTTCATGGCAGCTTTCAATGTTGATGTGTCTTGCTTTACCTGTTCATTTTTTATGAGTTCATTCTGCAGTGTTCAGGACTAAACTGAGGACCTTGCTATTGCTAGGTAAGGGCTCTGTCAATGAGATCATCTATGGACTGTTCAAACTTCCTGTCTTTGGATCCTTCTCAAGCACCATTTCTCCCTGTCTCTCTACCTCTGTGCTCACTCATTTTCAAATTAAAACACTGCGGGCGAAGGGTGTTCTGAAAATACAAGTATGGAGCGGTGTCTGTGATTGATTTAAGTGGTGGGGGTCTTGGAAGGCATTCCATGCTGGGGAATGAAGGCATGACCAAGTCCTGAAGACTCTTGCAGCCTCCAGCCTCTTCCTCACTCTGAACTGGAAGAGGTTCTGCAAGTACAGAAATCGCTGTGCGGTGTTCTCAAAGTACAAGGGAGGTTGTCTGGGCTTGCTCTGATGTTGTGTCCTTGCAGAGTTCAAGGGAGCAGTACCAAGACCCCTACTGAGCAGAGACAATGAAGCTGACATTTACAGATAAGAAAGGTCACTGCCTTCCATACCTGTAGGCAAAGCCAGTCAGGAAATATATAAAGGAGAAGCTCAGCTCAGCTCTCAGCCAAGGCCCTTCCTGGCAAGATGAATCCTACCAGCTTCTTCCTCCTTACTTTGCTCCTGGTTCTGGTGACAGAACCAGCGGTGGGGAGACCCCGTGGTGAGTGGCAAGTTTGTTCTGTGGGAAAGGTATTTGAGGAAAATGTTCTCCAAGGGGTCCACCTGGCATCTACAAAAGGCTATGTTCCTAGGGCTTCCGTTCCTGATGGAAATGGAGTCTTTTTTGAATCTTACCCATAAGTTTCATGTGACTATCAGTGAAGGGGCAGTCAAAATGTCAGTAAGGAGGGCTGCAGGGGAATGTGGGTCATCGGGTAATACAAACATCCTCGTTGTCAATTGTGAGGGGAGTTGAGAGGGCCATTTGACAAGTAGACCATTCCAGTTTCTAACTGGACTAAAAGCTCAATGGCTTTGTAGGCAGCAAAACAGCAACAAGGTACATCTGAACACAGGTCCATAACCAGAGCTGAAGCTTGGGCTCTTGACAGTGTCCTGATGCCCAACTAATCCAGAATATACAGAAAGATGGGCAGAGAGAATTAGGCGTGTTTTTCTCTTCACAGAAAGATTTTCACAAGACACATCTAGTGAAGACCTTGAAGTAAAAGTCCTAGGCAGCAGTGGGGGATCGAGTTCTATCCAAGATGAATACAGCCACAGTGAGAGTTCATGGAGTTCCTTTAAATCAAAAAGTCCCAAGACTACCTTCACTGAGGAAATCTATGAGGAAAGGAGGGAGAAACCGGGTGATGGCGATCTTAGTTTCAAGACAAGAGGATCTCAAGATGAAGGCATGAGCTCCTATAAAAGTAGAACGAAAACCAGGATTACTGGGAAATAATCCATTCACTGGCCAACTGAAGACCTGGGCCAATATGAAGGTAAGAATATCGCCAGGTGAGGGAGATGCCTACCTCAGGGTTTTGAAGCTATGCATGGCTATTCCCTGAGCCTTTGTGGAACTGGCTGGTCCCCACTGTGCATACCTGGGGAGCTGTGGAGTATGACCTTTGGGAAAGCGAGGAAAGCACCTGGCAGAGCAGAGGAAGGAGCTGAGCTGTGATGGTGTCCTGAATTCCTAGCCTTAGTGTGTGGCATCAATGGTTTTCTCCTGCCCCAGGTTCACCAGCAAGTGGTAAAATTGAGTATGCACCACCTGTGCAAGAATATTATGGGCTTATAATAGAACCCTGTCACTTCTTGTGTTGTGCTTGTAAAACTTAATTTCATGCTTATCGTGGTACAAAACAGTGCTGTAGATGCAATCTCCTTGTGTCCACACAGCCCGGTGAGGCCATAGCTCCAAGAGTTAGCTTCCTCTTCCCTCTCAAAATAAAAAAAAAAAAGAATGACAAATGCCTCTGCCTGTGATACACAAGAGATGAAATATAGCAATAACCTGCAGTAAAGGCGATCACAGAGACCTGAGACCTACACCAAATGTCCCCTGTGCCCTCCCCTGTCTGACTTCACATGTTGTCCTCTCTTTCCCTAGGTGTCACTGAACTGAGAAGTCTGTGTTGTCTTCAGGATTCAGTCTCCCACGGATCCCAGAAACAGCCCATGGTTATCACTTTCTTCTCACGCCTGCTTTTTCTCAACATTCCTAACCCTGACAATATTCAAATTCAATCTTTTCAATAAAAAAGACATCATTCTGCATCATTATCTCCTGAAGTCTCTTGCTTCTGGGGCCTAGGGGCTGCTTAGATTCCTGGAATTAACAGTTCCACAATTAAAGGAAGAGCCCTTAGGTGTCAGTATGGTGAATCCTACGCAAAGACACATTTCCTAAGCTCTGGACAGAGAGGCATTATTCAGTAGCAGGCACTATGGCTGCCAATCACTTCAAGTAACACTAACCCTAATCCCTGACTGACCATCTTCTTAGTGGGGCTTCAAACTGGCAACCTAGGCTATGTCAGAGAAGTCATGTTCCAATATGCCACTGCAAAGCCTTCATCAGGAGTCCCCAGGTTCACCAGTCCATAGCAGCACATATTGGGCGTGGTTCAAGTATCTTGCTCATTGAATGGCTTCTTTTTAAGATTCAGTGGCTGTAGGGAGCCGTCCCTGCATTCTCCATTACAATGATGGCGCCTGAAGGCACAGTCTGTAAATTATTGGGCAGGCGCTGGGTAATTTTCCATTTCCTTGATCTCTGCCTATTCCGTGGCGTCATATGGCCTGAGGAGCTGAAGCCAATCATAGGGTGACACGTCCCAGGCAGCGGCTGCCAGCCTTTATTAGGGGATGGGATTCTTGGCTCGGGGTCTCCGCTCTGGTAAGCTTATGCTCTCCTCTCAAGATGCATTAAAGCTTTCCTGCAGAAGGATCCGAATGTCCTGTGTGGTTCTTGCCGGCGAGACTATTGCTCGGGACAAGTGGCCCCAGTGATTGGAGAGATGGCTCAACACTTGGGATCACTGGTTGCTTTTCCAGAGGACCTAGGTTCTTTTCTCATGCCAGCCCACAACTGTCTCTAACCCCAGTTCCAAAGGATCTGACACCCTCATACAGACATACTTGCAAGCAAAACACCAACGCACATCATATAAAAATAAATAAATAAATAACTTTAAAAATGGAAAAGAAAACATTCAATGTCCCTACACGTGATACTCAAAGTGTCTACCACTTATACAAGCATGTGTTAAACAATGTCATCTGTGGATAGACACACCAGAGGACTAGCTACAATAGCTAGGAAAGGTGTCTTCAAATGCAAATCTTGATGCTCATATACCTTTCTTTGAGTATTTAATGAGGACTTCAGGGCATAAATCCCCCAAGAGCAGAAATAAATATGGAAAGGAAACAACACATCACAGGCACTGCCAGAAGTAAAGCTATCAGACTTCTGTGATTCTACAAGCAAGGTTCTGAGCCAACAGAGTCACATAGTTGTGGTGGTCTGCATGAGAATGGCACACATAGGATCATACATTTGCCTGCCTTGTTCCCAGCTGATAAACTGGTTCAGCTGAATTAGGAGGTGTGGCATTGCTGGAGGAGGTGTGGTCTTTTTGGAGGAAGTGTGGCCTTGTTAGAGGAAGTATTGTAGCTGGGGATGGGTTTACAGGTTCAAAAGTTCGTGCCAGACCCTCCCTCTCCCTCCCTCCCTCCCTCCCTCCCTCTCTCTCTCTCTCTCTCTCTCTCTCTCTCTCTCTCTCTCTCTCTCTCTCTCTCTCTGTCTGTCTCTGTCTCTCAGGATGGACAGCTCTCATCTACTGCTCCAACACCATGCCTGATGCTTTCCACTGTGATGATCATGGACTAAACCTCTGTATGCATAAACCACACCCAGTGAGACAGATCACTTCCTGTTGTCTGCAATATACAGAACCCTCAGGTACCTATCCAGCACCACGCCTGCCTGCACACTGCCGTGTCCCGCCGTGATGATGATGGACTGAACTGCTAAAACTGTAAGTGAGTCACTCCAATGAAATGCTTTCCTTTCCTTTATATAAGAGTTGCTGTGGTCATGGTGTCTCTTCACAGCAATAGACACCCTAGTTAAGACGTATGTGTATCATCTAAATAAACATTCTTAACACATTGGTGGTGCAATTTGTTTATTACTTACACTATGAATTAGTAAAGCTCAATTTCTTCTTTACATTGCTATAAAGTATAATGGTAGGGAGTGGAGGAAGCCCAAGTGAGAAAAGTCCTGAGTGAATGTGTGTTGTTGATATGGGACAGCCATGCCAAGGATCCAATGGCCTCAGCCCCATGGGAGCAGCAAGTCCACCCTCAGATGAAGCTCGGAGGGATGGCAAAGCTTTCTCTAAGAATCTGAGTGCTATGGATTGACCAGTGTGCACAGAAACTAGCAACTGCAGCTTCATCCTCCTAGGTAATTATAGCCTGAGACTGCTCACTCAAAGGGACCACCTATGCAGACAAGCTAGCCCCTCTGCCTATGTTGGGTTAGGCAACAAATTTAGGCTCTTTACAGGAACAATAAATACTCTTAACCCCCACACATCTTTCTAGCACTGTTTTCTTATATAAAGTTGTTTCTTAAGTCTGGATAGTTTGCTCAGTGGATAAGAGTATTTACTGTTCTCGGGAAGGCCTGAGACTTGTTCATAGCACCTATAGTGGATAACTCACAACTGTCTGCACCTCGAGGTATAGGGTGGGGTCAATGACTTCCAGGCTCCAGAGGCATAAGGCACTCTCAGGTGCACACGCAAGAACTCATATATACATATAAGATAAAATTTTTAAATAAATAAGTTGGGCGTTGGTGGCACACACCTAATAGTCCTAGCACTCGGGAGGCAGAGGCAGGCAGATCTCTGTGAGTTCGAGACCAGCCTGGTCTACAAGAGCTAGTTCCAGGACAAGCCTCCAAAGCCACAGAGAAACCCTGTCTCAAAAAACCAAAAAAAAATTAAATAAAAGAAAGAAAGGAAAGAGAAGAGTAGAGGAGAAATGTTTAAAAAGAGAGAAGCAAAGGCAAGAGATGTAAAAGTGAAGATACAAGACATAAGTGTAAGAAAGGAATTTTTGAATAGGACTCCTTTTGCCAAGGAATTAAGGCCAGCAATCAACAACTGGAAACTCATAAAACTAAAAAACTTCTGCATAGCTAAGAAAACAATCAAGTGAACAAGAATTCCACAGAATGGGGGAGAGTCTTTGCCAGCTATTCATCTGCCAGAGGAGTAATATCCAAATATGCAAGTATCTCAAAATACAAAGAATCAAGAAGATAAATGACCCAATTTAAAAATGGAATGGAGAGAAATAGAAGGAATAGGTCTTGAACCCACCTGCACCCACTGGGAGAGGTGAGTACTGGGCCTTCTCCTACCCACTCTCCACCCCTCCTTAGAGTCCACTAACCCTGGGGACTGCATGTAGCCTCTTCCCAACCACCAAATCCCCTAGAGACCTGGGGACAGACCAAAACATCCAGCATCTGTCACCACTGGAGTCTTGGATTTGCCTGCACACACTGGGAGGGAGACCTGGGGACAGAGCAAACCAAATAG